AAACCATCTTATATCTTTCTATGCTTTTTTATTTTCGTTTTTTATTTATGAGTATTTATTGGAAGTAAGTAATAGCCAGATGGTCTTTTTGACCTGGTGTTGACTTGAGACCGTTACAAGAACGAGTTCCAACTCTGATGATGTCCATCGAATGATCTACGAAAGCTGAGCCTGTTTTCATCCGAAACGAAGTAGAATGTCTCGTGGACTGCGTCAACCTGAACGTCGTATTAAAGCCAAATGGCTGATCGACAACGTGAATCAGCCGTCGTCTTTTTGTCAGATCTATTCTTCATCATGCACTTTCATACAAAATGAAAGTGCCCCCAACAATTGAGTCTACATAAGAGGCAAGATAGAGCCAGACTAGTGTTAATGTGAAACTTTTACAAGAATGAAACCCAGCTCTGATGATGTCCATCATTTGATGGACGAAAGCTCAGAATGTTTTCACCCGAAACAAGGGAGGAAGTCTCGTGGACTGCGTCAACATGAATATCATCTAAAAGCCAAACGGCTGCACTACAAAGATCTGGTGAGATCGACCAACGAATGTCTTCTTCATACACTTTCATTCGAAATGAAAGTCCCCCCAACAATGTTATCTCAAGAGATTCATCGAAACCCAGTTACTCTTCGTATCTACAAGCATAGAATGGCCTCAAATGCCTACGTGTTGTTTTGCCCGATTTCGGTGGTCCTACAATGGCCACACGAACCGGCATCTGGAGCGGTGGAGTTTCCACCTGCGCAGCGGTATACTTCAAAGGGTTGGCGGAGAACAAATCGCGCGCTTTCTTTCCAGCCAACCAGTAGACGTGACCACGCCAGACGACCGGACTCGCCGCCTCGTCCGGACTCACCGGCCCAGACGACTGACCGGGCGGGCAAATAGTGCTTGGTACAGTCGCCTTGGCGCCACCGGCACCGACACTGGCCGTCTCGACCAGAGCTCTGAGGCTGAGCAGAGGAGCGGGTCCTTCGGATTGATCTGGTGACTCGGAGGTCAGATCACGTGGCCACAGCGGAGGCACCGGTCGCCAGGCGGTCAGATCGGCCATCATTTTGCTCGGGTCAATCAGCATTTCGGCAGCTTCTGATGCCGCTTTCGTCTCCAACCGTCCGGTCGGTGTCGTCAGAGAATAGGCATCGGTGTGCTGGTACAGAGTGACCGGACA